AAAGCCCACATTAAATGACGTATGAAAAGTGCATCCCAACCCAAGATCTAACGGTGGAGGTTTATTCTTATTTCTTTCATTAGATCTCTTTCTCACCGGAACCAAACTATATATATATATATATATATATATATATATATATATATATACGAGTATTTTAACCCGTGCCATCCACGGGTGGAACGAAATTGTTTTTTGTTATACAATATCAAATATTTAAACAACTTAATTTTTTTATGTTATATACCATGTAAATTTCACACACACACACACACATACACACACACACACACATAAAATCTAGGTTTACTAAATTACTACAAATATATAGTTCTTTTCACCCCTTAAATTCAAAAAATATACGACAAAAACATTGTTGATTTTATTATTCTTCTCCCCCGCATTTATTTAACAAACTTAGATTTCCGATCTTGTAATTTTAATATAAAAACATCATGATTCTTCTCCGCCAGATTAATTTACATTAACGGAAATATATGATTTTAATTTCTATGGTGCATTAATGTGATTCTTTCTCTCCTTGGCCCTTTGCACTAATTAAAAATTGACTCTTTTTTCTTGTATTATTAAAAGTATGAAAACATAAATTAACAATCATATGATAAGAAATATAAATCTTACAATACATTTAAAATATAATGATTATTCTCCCTCGTATTATTTCAAAAATTATGTGAATGCAAAAAAAAAAAACATTAGTGATTCTATGATTTTAATGAGATTTTACAAAAACTATTTCACAATTTTTACTCATTTTTTTGCTTTCTTTTTAAATATTAAATCATTTAAGTGTGTGAAAGTATTTTGGTCAATACATAATGTTTTATAAAATACAAAGAGTTACAATTTAAAAATTATATTTCTCTTTGATGTTGTAGTTTAACCTAAATCTTATTCAATTCTGCATATAAGATATTTTTCGTACTCCTCCTTAAATTACTGATTATCCTTGCATCTAAATTTTAATTGTCACAGATCTTCATGCGTTTCTCGACCTCCAGATCTTAATTTTCCTTATAGAAATATAAATTACATCTTAAATATGGTAAGTTACAGTGCAAACCTTCTTTGATTAAAATAATAGGTCAAATTAGAAAGATAAAGTACAAAAGTCAAATTAAATAATCCTGCTAAGTAATACTCTGTATGGTTTAAACACTTAATATATATAATTTTAATATAGGGATTAAGAAGTATTTGTTATTTTACATCACTATTTAAATAAATGGAATAAAGCTAAATTCTCTTAATCATAACATAAAGAAATATGAAATTTTGTTAAAGATAAAGAGAGTAGTTTATATATTCATTGAAACTATTATTATAAATGAAATGAAAAAAAATTAAAGGAAAAATTATCCAAAATAATCCCAACTTTACCCGGTCTTTCAAAAATAATCTCACCTTTCACTGTGATGCATAATAATCCCAACTTTATTGAAAGTTGCTGGTTTGGGTCGCTGTTAAGTTTCTAACGGAAATGCCCGTTTTAGGCAACAAAATGAAAGTTGGGATTATTTTTGATGACTTTTGTTTTTGAATTTTTTTGAAATTTTTATTTAAATTTTTTGAATTACTTTCAACCTCCATTTCTTTTTCTTTTTTAAAGATTATTCTTACCTTAGAAAAAAATAGATATAAAAAATAATGAAAATGAGAAAAATAACTAAAACCATACAGAATTAATCAAATAAATAATGTAATCAATAGAAATTAAACAGAAACTGGTAAGAAATAAAATAAATATATACAGAGTGGTGAGTTTTTACATTTTACACACTATACGGAGTCTTAATGTACTACTTATTTTTTAAAAGAACAAGCCGTCCGGTAAAGTTAGATTTATTGTACATAATGTTTTCTAAAAATAAGAAGTGATATGTTAATACTTTGTATAATGCGTAAAATATTAAAACTCACCCGTATATTTTTATTTTACTTTTACCAATTTCAAGTTAGTTTCCATTGATTACCTTATTTATTTTATTATTTTGTATCATTTTAGTTACATTTCTCATTTTTTCATTTTTTATATCTATTATTTTTATTTTTTAAACTAAGACTAATCTTTAAAAAAGGAAAAAGAAATTATGATGGAGGTAGAAAGTAATTTAAAAACTTTAAATGAAAAATTTTAAAAATAAAAAAAATGAAAATTCATCAAAAATAATCCCAACTTTCATTTTGTTGCCTAAAACGGGCATTTCCGTTAACCATCCGTTAGAAACTTAACGGCGACCCAAAATTGACAAATTTCAGTAAAGTTGGAATTATTATGCATCACAGTGAAAGGTAGGATTATTTTTGAAAGACCGGGTAAAGTTGGGATTATTTTGGGTAATTTTTCCAAAATTAAAACAATATTCTAATAAAAAATAAATATCTCTCTTTCTTAATTAAATGTACTCAATGATAATAAAATCATAAATAATGTTAGTATAATATAATAAGTCCCAACGATATATTTTATTTTAATCATTTGTCTTTTATAATATAATAAAAATAGGTTTAAATATGTTTTTATACCCTATAAAATAAGAAATTTTTTAGTCTTTGTAAATACTTTTTGATAAAGTCATCCCTACAAAATATTTTAATTTGAAAATAGTCCTTAACGTAATTAGAACTTCTAATTAGATGAGATAGTACATTTATTTCATGCTCAACATATTAGTCATGTATTTCTAATTACATCCGATACAATTTCTAAACCCTAAATTGTGTACTTATTCATATTACATATATCTGGTTCTCAAATTTCTTACGAATATAATATAATCAAAATTTGAGAATTAAAAATGCAATTTGATAAAAGACACAATTGTTGACATCAAAATTGTGTCTGAAGTAATTGCAAATATAAAACCAAGCTATTGAGTACAAAATAAATATGTTATTTCAACAACTTAAAAGTCTAATATATTTTACGTGCTTTAACAATTTATTTTCTAATCTTCTCATTTTTATAAAGTTTCATTGTAGTTTTAAAATAAGTGTTTCTAATCTTCTCATATTTTAATAAATATAATCAAACTGACTGCTTTGATTTAAATATATCATAAAAATATGAAATTTATTTTAAATTGAAGAAATATCTTATTAATTGCTTAGGGCCAATTTGGTGAATTTTGGAGATATTATAAGATGTGGGTTATGAAAACTCAGGAAAATGATATGGACTTTGTAATCTAAAATGATTTTATTTGGAGAGATTTAAATTCAGGATTTAATTAGTGATAAGAAAAGGTGACTGGCAACGGGGGTGGTTGGCAGTGATAATGATAGCGAGTGACGAAGAATGATCAATAGTTGAGAGAGATATCAAACCCCCATATTGATATCTCCTAAATTCGGGAGATATTGAGAACATCAATTTTAAAGATTTATGATATCTGCAGATATTAAATTTGATAACTCTTTTGGCTTCATCAAAATTTGATATTAAATTTTGATATCTCAAAATTCAAAACTCATATTTTTTTGCTCACCAAACACACTTTTAGAAGTTTTGTAATAATTGAATAGAAAATTATACATAATTAGAAAATAATTTATTATAAAACGAATATCTATATTCTCTTCCATAATTAATTGTACCGAAGGACTACATACAATAGTATTAACTTCTTAATTTCTATAATATATTTTACGTGTCAGAAATGTCTTTTAAACAATATCACATCTCAGCTTCTTAAAGATTAATATATCAATTTTATAAATAGAAATCACCCTAAATAGGACTAAAACATAGAGAAAAGTACCAAAATAGGACTTTCATGTTTTTTTTTTCGAAATAGGACTTTGCACTGTGGTAATGTGACTTTGCATTGTGGTAATGTGACATTGTACATGTGCACATTACTATACATTTTTGGTAATGTATATGACCATGTTTGGTAATGTAAGTCTTATTTCGGGAATAAAAACATGGAAGTCCTATTTTGGTATATTTTCAATGTTTTAGTCCTACTTGGGTCTTTCTCCCTTTTATAAATATAGGATCAATTATAAACATATTTGATCCTTTTCTATAAGAATACTTTTAAATGAGAATATATCATTATCAAAATTTTGTTTTTTGTGTATGCACTTAGTTAAAAAATTTGATTCATAAAAAATGCTAGTCTTGAAATGGTAGATGATAATACCAATTTTATATTTTCACTAATTATTTGCTACATCATAATAAGTTTTATCATAAAATTATATTTTACTCCGTATATAATTGTTTTCCTTTAAAATTTTTATTTCAGACAATACTATATTTATCTTTCACAAATTTGATTTTATAACATAATTAATTTTATCACATCATAACAAATAAATAGATGAATTGCTTTTTAAAAATAAAAAATATAAATACTCAACTAATGTCACGAAGTAATGAATTCTTTATTTGTTTAACGTAAATTTTTTCCAAAATTTGAAATCATTTTTAAATATCTATTTTAAAATAAAAAGAAAGGTCAATTCATCATTAATAAAATTTGCCACATAAGCAACCAATAAAGACTTGCCATCTCACCTTAATATAGCCCACATAAGCTTGACTCTTGGTGACTTTCTAGCAAACGGAGTCTCAAATATTATATTAAAAGATTATATTTTTTAGAACTAAAAAAAATCTTTATACAATCTTTTTTTAATTATGAAACATTATAAAAGCTTAAGTGAGATTGTAACAAAAAGCACCATAGCTTGGATGGTTAGGAACTCAACTAAATAATCAAGAGATCCTTGTTTTAAACCCCATGGTGGTATGCTTTTGGAAAAAAATTGCAAAAAAAGAACTGGTCTGACCGGTCAAACCGATTGGTTTGTCTAAAAGGGTAACACATCAGCTCGCCACATGTCGCACTTTAGCTTTGCCAAATGTTGCCACATCAGCTCACCACATGTCGCGCTTTAGCTCTGCCAAATGTCACTATCTTATAGCTCCAACTCTGCTTTATATATAAAAGATAAAGGATTTACAGTGCCACATATTAATTCTCTTATTTCAGGTTTTATTTGGTTAACCATAGAGGCATAAATAAATTTCAATTAACTTCGCCTGTTTATTATTGAGGTCAAGTTAATAAAGACATACAAATCCACACATGCCCATTGCCCGCAAGCCAACAAGGCCACAACTGTTACATAATTGCGTACAAAACAAGCCCACAGTGTTACATACAGTACATACTGTATTTATTTATCCGTAAACGCCGGTCCGTGAACAGAAAAAGCAAATAAACCGGCGTCAACGGCGAGCGGAGGCGGATCTAATCGCTGTCGCTGCTGCTGCTGCTCTCATCGCCGTGGCCGTCGTGCTTCTTCTCCTTCTTTTTCTTCTTCTTCTTCTCATCCTTTCCGTGGTGCTCGCCGCCTTCGCCGTGGATCTTGTCCTTAATCTTCTCCACCAGTCCTTCCTTGTGATCGCCGCCGTGGTGACCGCCTCCTTCTCCGTGGATCTTGTCCTTGATCTTCTCCACCAATCCCTCCTTGTGATCGCCGCCGTGGTGGCCTTCTCCCTCATGCGTGACATCGTGGTGGTGCTTCTTCTCTTCCTTGTGGCTCTCCGCGGCCTTGTCCTGGCGGTGCTTCTCCCCGTCCTCCCCTTCTTTGTGGCCGTGGAGCACATCGCTGATCTTCTCCATGATTCCTGACATTTTTCTTGAAAAAGGAAAAAACAAATCTGGTTTGGATTGATTTGGATTATCTTTGATGGAGGATTTGATGGAAAGAGATGATCTAAGATTTATTTATTTATAGGAGGGAGATGCGAACGCGGTTTACACCAAATGACCAAATTGACCTCTATACGTGGACCAACCGCGTGACTGAACTTTTGCAAACCGACCAATCTCATAAAATGGATAATTAAAGAAAAAAGTGGGGTCTACTCTTCCGTCTGGGAGTGATCTTTTCATTAGATTTTTCTTGTTTAAAGTTGATATGTAGAAAAAATATACTCCCTCCGTCCCAAATTATTTGCAATATTTGTTTTTTTAGCAGTCGCGGGAACTTTTGTTTGTTTTTATGTTTTCATTGGTTATTTGATAAAATAAAATATTTTTTACGCCTCTCATTTCGAAGAACTTTTCATGTAGTTTTTTGATATGTAAATTTTATTTTTTATTTCTATACCAATATGTAAATAAAATGAATTGAAAAAGCTTGATATTTTGCCTCGGGAATACAAATGTGGCAAATATTTAGGGACGGAGGAAGTATTTTATTATAATACTACCTCCGTCCCGTGAAACATGGGACATTTGTTTTTTAGGAGGGATTTAAGGGAGTGTATTTTGGTATTGAATTTCCAAAAATGTCCTTTGATGTAATGGGTAAAAGTATGATTTGATGGATAGATTATTAGTAAAAAGGTATGATGTGATAGTTAGGGTATGAAAAAGTAAGGGGTAAAAGTGACTTTTTAATAGAAATGAGAAGTGTTTTGTGGGACGGATAAAAAAAGAAAGGGGAAATGTTTCACGGGACGGAGGTAGTATAAGTTTAATACTAATATGTTCCTGTTGGAACGTAATTTTGAAGTATCAAATTTTTATAAAATATATCTGATCTGTATATAAATATAAATGGTTAAAGTTGATATTAGAGACCATGAAAAGTCAAATAAAATGAATATTTCCAAACGGAAGGAGTACTCAACTTACACACTAGTTATTATAGATAGACACAAACAACTATTGTACACGTACATACAACAGTATGCCTCTGTGATACAATTGTGTTCAAGACTTCAAGTTGAGATATAAATTTTGGAGTCCCTCTCTAGAGCACCTCTACTAAATAGTCTCTATTTCTTTATTTTCGAATTATATGATAGTACAATTTGATTTTATAAACATTAAAAGAAAAATATAAAAATTAAAAAGTGTGTACTTTAAGTTTGTTTATAAAAATAGAAAACTTATGGACCACGAATCTTTATTTTTTTGAATATATTGAAAAGAAAAGTAAGATGCTTAATTTGGGATAGAAGAAATATATACAAAGTATTAGGGCTCCCTAATTTTTATCTTTATATATAAAATTTGAGAGTTAAGCTTCTAAAATTGTGACATGTGAGGCGCTTATTTGGAACTTTTTTTGATATGTTAGCATGTCATGTGGGCAAGTAATATTTAGAGGATTAGTTAACAAAACAACTTTTTTTGTGGAAATTAAGTTTCGCATTCCTACCCAAAAATTTCTTAACATAATCTTGTTTAAAAAAATTTACATTTTAATTTATTATTATAAATATTTAAATTAAATAATAGATTTTAAAATTTTAAAAAAAGAACTCATATTCAAAAACAATAATCAGAACAAATAAGTTTATTCTAAGAACGGATCGATTGGTAGGACTAAAGAAAATTGCTTTTGATTTTTTTTCTTTGAATTAATACTAATTGGAGATATTTTCCCATTTTTAAAAAGAGAAACAAATATATAAAAGAAAGGTATTTTTTTGGGCACGTTTATTTAATAGAGCATTAACTTTATTCTGTATATATTAAAAAATTCTAATTCAAATAACAAGTATGCTCCATTTTAAAATTAGTATTTTCCAATTTAAAACTATTATTTTTCATTTCAACTTTGTAAAAATTTATAGATTTGTGCCACAAAAATACTACGGAGTATTTTCCATTAATAACTTCGTAAAATGAAGAAGACTTTGTACATGATTATATTATTTATGTGTAAGAAATTAAATATTATTTGGTGTTCCTAATCGAAATAGTTATGGTATAATATTAATTGTTATATGTGTAATTACTATTAATTTAAATTCTTGAAAAAATATAAAACGTGCTAATTATTTTGATATCTATGTCAAAACAATATAAATAAGTAGTGTTCTTAACTAGCTTATTTTTTTCATCCGACTATCGACAAGAATGTAACAAATATTAGTGGTAATAAAAAAAAATTATATCTAACATTTTTAGATAAAAAAAATATAGTAATATTTATTTTATGACAGTTATTACAAACACAACAGTAGAGGGATCGTCATCGGCTTAGTTAGTCGAAGATTTGAAAAATATGATGGATGTGCATAATATTTTAACACAGATTTTCAAAAGAACTAGAGACTTTATGAATAATGAGCACACTTCTAATTTACTTCTTGCAATGCCTCTACATCCTTGCTTTCTTCAGTTCTTGACATGCTTGTAGGTGTCCTACATTATTGCATTCCGCTCAGGGAGTGAATCGTAATTTACATGTCATATTGTCTGCTGAAAAAGACTTTAACTCACCTTGGTGCCTCTACATGCCCTTTGTTAATCTGATGTTATTTTAACGCCAGGTTTTGCCTTTGTCTATTTTGATGAAGAGCGTGATGATGTTGATGATATTCGTCATTTGGACAATGTTGCATTTGGGTAATGCTTTATTGTTTTGTGAGAGCAACTCTTGTCTGATCTATTTTCAGTGATAGTGATCCTTTCTTTTCTCATGTCTATCTTTTTTTGGGGGAGCGTGGAAACAAACATCGTGAGGGATCGAAGGCTATGGCAAATTAGAGGCCAACCATAACTCTGTTTGTGATCAATTTTGATCTTCACCGAACTAGAGTCTGTGACATAGAGAAACACTTTGAGCCTTATGGAACAATCCACAATGTTTGGATTTGGGGGAATTTCGCCTTAAGCCCGTTTGAAACTCAGGAAGAGGCAACAAAAGCTTTGGAGTGCACTCACATGGGGTAATATAATTAAAATTTCGTAAAGAATTATAGTTCTGATTATCTACACAGAAAAAAATGTGTTCATGAAGTTGATAGTCTATCTGCAGCAAGATACTCGACAGGGTGGTGTCTGTTGAGTATACCCTGAGACATGATGATGAGAGGGGCGATATGTTTGACAACCCGACAGACTATGGCAGGCGTTGGGGAGTGGAAAGCCCTTCTCCATATGGAACGTCACCAAGCTCAATGTATTGCAGAAATTGATCCAGCCCTGACTACGGACGTCCTCGCACCCCAGTCTATGACAGGTACAATGGCCTCGTGTATGAGGGAGCCAGGAGCCCTGACTATGGAAGGTACCGCATGTAGTGCTTTCCATATGCTGTTGTTCTAGAATGGATCGAGATTGCTGTGACACTTTATGTGTCTACTAATGTAATTGCATGTCATGTCTTTGGGTATATTTGATGGGTTCAACTTTTAGGACCAATTATTGTGTTCCTGAAGGTGCATTTGGATCTTATTATAGGTATTGGATAGATTATGAATAACCCTATCTTGTATAGTTTGTGGTTTTCGCTCGACTTTGGCCATGATTATTACTTATAAGTGCACTATGGTATTAGTAAACTCAAGAACTTATATGGGTTGCTGTCATGCTTCATTTGGTTTTGGTTTTGGTTTTTTGTTCATTTTAGTTTCAAATAATTGATAAGTTCTGAAAAAACAGTTTCAAATGATCTGGTTTTAGGATAAGAACTTGGAGATTTTATGTTTTAGAAGTTAAAACCAAATGACCCCCTAAGGAAAAATTTGATATGACCCACATTATATATCATTAAATTAAAGCTAAAAAATCAATAGCTTAACTTTATTATGATAATCTCTTGAATTGCATGAATGAAGTAATTAAGGACTTATGAATGAAATGAAGTAATTAAAATGAGGTGTCTAATAAATATGAAGTACTACATAGTTATTAATATAAAACTAACTTCTTATTTTTGGAACAAAGCACATTAATGGTTGATTTTTCATAGAGATTGTGATTGGTTTTTATATATGACGCAGATTGTAATGATTCACAAAATAAATACATATCCATTAATTTCTTGAATTATTATTGATCAAATTTTAACAAGACTAAAAATGAATTCTTTTGTTACGTGCATTGCTGATTAAATTTAGAATTTAATGAAGAATATACATATATTTCTCTATTTAAGAATATAATATAGCCATACAAAAAAATTAATTTATTGATGTTTTTCATTTCCAATTTTTTGAAATAAGTTTTTGTATTCATCTTAAATTGTAGAATTTATATATTCCCGTGCAGCGCAAGGGTCGAATACTAGTTTATAACAAAAAGAATTAGAATGCAAATAATATTAAAATACACTAAAATAAATGTCTTTAAAACTTTTTTAGATTCTCCATTTTTTCTAGTTTTTCCAATTGTATCTAATTTTTTTCTAATTTCTTCCCGTGTTTTTCAATTTTTTTCTAATTCCTTTCAACATCCCATGTTTTTGTTCATGAATAATTTACTTAAATAGGACTAAAACATAATGACTTTCTCAAAATAAGACTATATGTTTTTAATTCCCAATGTAGGATCATTAGTCATTATCTATTAGTCATTATTCAACTAAATGCCCAGCATCACTTAGATATTATTTTTTTTACAAGTCATTATTAAATCCTATTTAGGAAATAAAAAAAGTTAAGTGAAATGACTTTGTTTTAGTCATATTCAATGCAAATTTCACCTTAAAAACAAAAAGGCTCTAAATTATACGCCCGGATAAAAGTACCAAGTGATTCTCATTGACGTGAAGAACGCGAGGGGGAGATTTCTCTCTCATTGGCAATACCATGGCTGCGCTCACAAGTTGTAGCTTTAGCAGCGCAACAAACCTGAGGCTCCGTTTGAATCTCCATACGAGTTACATTCTGAAGCAAAGAAATCCGCTGAGGACAATATACAAGAGGAATTCAGGCAGATTGATAATTAGGTCTTTCAGTGGCTCTGGCAGCACTAATGGAGGCAGGAACGGCGGCGACGGGAAGCTGGAGAAGGACAACTCTTCCAATTTGGCCACCGCCACGACCACCACCCCTACCCATGACACCACGGAGGATAGGCGCAGGCCGGGCGGTTCTGAAGATTTTGAGGAATCTCCAGCTTCTGTTTCGTCAAGAGTGAGCATTTCTAGTTCCCCATTTCGTTGACATTTTCACAAAAGTTGTCCGGATGATTGAAATTTGATATATGGCATTGCTGGCCAATAACAAATTACATTAGTTCGATCTAGAGTAAAAATACCTGTATGATCAGGATTTAACCAAACATAGTTTATTAGCGATCCTTGTAAAAGATCAAACAAGCTTCTGCACTAATGTGTCAAATACCCAAAGATATTGGAAACTGTCAAGCTTTTGATAAAATCGGTGTGAAGAGAAGATTATTGTAATGTAATAAACCATTTGTCTTTGGCCTTTGCAACAGCCGACACTGGTTGGGTCACCTTATAATAGTTTCCAAGTAGACTCTTTCAAATTGATGGAACTTCTTGGACCTGAGAAAATTGATCCTCCTGATGTAAAGATCATTAAGGAGAAACTTTTTGGTTATTCCACTTTTTGGGTGACAAGAGAGGAACCATTTGGAGATCTTGGGGAGGGCATTCTTTTCATTGGAAATCTTAGGGGAAAGAGGGAGGATGTTTTCTCCAAACTGCAGACTCGACTATATGAAATTATGGGTGATAAGTACAATTTGTTCATGGTGGAGGAACCTAATTCTGAAGGAGTAGATCCACGCGGTGGGCCTAGAGTCAGCTTTGGAATGCTGCGTAAAGAGGTTTCTGAACCTAGTCAAACAACTCTGTGGCAGTACGTAATTGCTTTTATATTATTTCTTCTTACAATTGGATCCTCTGTGGAGCTAGGAATTGCATCTCAGGTTTGTTAATCCTTATGTTCTGATATATGCTTATTTGGACATTTATTGTATCATTATTATATTTAGTACACAAAGGTTCAATAGAAGTGCTCTGATTCATTAAGATTGTTTCTTAAACAGATTAATCGCCTTCCTCCTGAGGTAGTCAAGTACTTCACTGATCCAAATGCCATTGAGCCACCGGATATGCAGCTTCTATTACCTTTCATCGATTCTGCTTTGCCCCTCGCGTATGGTGTCTTGGGAGTGCAGTTACTCCATGTAAGAATTCTTCCTTTCAGTTAGTTACTTAATTGATACAATGTCATTGCATATCTAATTGAAGATTAATATAGACTTAAGTCAGAAAACAAGGCTCTATCCAACAACAACATTACCCCAGTGCCTCAAAGGCTCCCCCGCCCATTGCAGGATAAGGGGAGGGGGGGGGGAGGGGGCTGGGGTCGGATGTACACAACCTGACCCCTATGTCTAAAACCCCTATGTCTAAAACATAGAGCGGCTGTCTTCGGATGACCCATGATGAGCGTCGAAAGTTGCATTGACCAACTGCTACTTCACTATTGAAAGAAGCACATATAGTTTAAAATTCATTTTGCTTTATTACATCATACCCCAAAGCGAAAAAACAAGGCTCTAACCAAAGGTCCATATTCTTCTATAGTTCTATGGGATAATTTCACTTTGGATGCTCTGAGTTTGTGGTTTGCGCTAGTGCACTTGGACTGAGTGCTTTAGTTTGTTGTATTTACTTACTTCCTTTGTGCTCCATCTTCCTTTCTCTTTTTATCCTACTTGTTTGTTCTTTCATTCTCTTTGTTCATTTTGTTTTGAGTAGGGGTCACTTGGAAATAGCCTCTTTACTCTCCAAGTAGGGGCATCAAATGCGTAAACTTACCCTCCCCAGAGGCCCAGACCCCTTCTTTGTGGCATTTCCTTGGGTTTGTTGTTGTTGTTGATAATTTGGTATTTTGGTATAATAAAAGAGTCAAGCCACCCCTTATTTGTAACTTTTGAAGTATTATGTAAGTGCTCCTTCTGGCCTATTAGAGAGTTCTACATTTTCTTTTTTGTTTGGATTAAATCAAAATAGAATATTAAACTTCCCTTGCTCAAGTTCTTACATTATACGAAGTATTGGGTAGTAAACACAGCAATGCATCTAGGGTCTAATGGAAAAAATCTCTCTTTGTTATTGGAGGTAAGACTGCGTACATCATGACCCTCAGACCCTAACGGAGTTGGGATTATATTGGGTTGTTCTTGTCAAGTCAATTGTGGAACTTTGTTTTGTGGAAGAAGGGAGTAAAATTTTTGTTTTTTTATTCTGAATCAATTTTTAAATAAATTGAATTGAAAATAACATCAGACAAACATTGTGAGATGAAGAAAAAACACTAAATATAGGAATGGAGGCAATATCATTTTTGTGTAAAATACAGTATTCTTTAACATAATCAATGAGTAATGTTTATTATTCAATAACATTGGTGCATAGTTCTAAATTTCCTGATCAATTTTATGCATCCAACTAAACATGTGGTTCTATTCACAAACAATTGTATCTTTAGACAAATAATAGTACAATGATCAACTCGTTAAGGCCCTACGTATTTTAGTGGCTATTCTAGTCATCTACAACCAACGTCTTTCCCTTGTAAATCTTTCGAAAAATTCTTCGGTGTTCTAATTCTACATGAAAGAGTTGATTTCCTGCAGGAAGTTGGGCATCTTCTGGTTGCCTTCCCGAGAAAAGTTAAACTGAGCATTCCTTACTTTATTCCAAACATCACTCTCGGAAGCTTTGGAGCAATCACTCAGGTTAGAATATTTCGAGTCACTGATAGAAAATGAAAACTTAGTGAAGTTGGCAAGTTGATTGTTTCAATGTTTCTATTAGATGTGACAATTGGGGAGCCTATAACGATAAGAGTGCACTAGATCACTTCCCATATATTATGCACATTTTACCCATGGTTTTTGTGCAAGCACAAATGTGCGTAGATCAAGTTGATGTTTTTTTGAAAATATCTTTATATGTTGAGACATGGAGCAGCAGATGCTTGCAGTGGCAAACTTGCAGAAATGCCAAATACTTAGGTCCCGTTTGGTACATGGAATTCAAACTATGGAATTGGAATTGAGGACTTCAATTCCAATTCTGGTGTTTGGTAGCACAAAAATTATGTAGATTTGGAATTGATAGTGCAAAAAATGAATTGAAATTGACAGAATTCAATTATATGGAATTGAATCTCATGGAATTTCAATTCCAATTCAATTCCAATTCCGTCAATTCCGTATACCAAACGGACCCTTACATTATTTGGACAAATGTTGTTTGACTTGTCTTTTATGGAAGTCCGAGAATACATTACTCAAGTACCACCTTGAGAAAATATGTTGGAAGTATCCTAAATAATGTAGAGCTGCACTTTTTTTCATCTTTAAAATATGTCAGCGCCCTGTTTTGCACTAGATTGAAGTATTAAGTTAGGAGCATTTCTCAGAATGAATTTGCATGTGGTCCATTTTCAGTTGTTTTTTTTTACTTTCACAGTTTAAGCCTCTTAATTCCAAATATAGATGTGTGCGTGTGTTTGTCATTCTTGTTAATCATTCCCATTCTTCAATTTTGCTCATTCAGTTCAAGTCAATTCTTCCTGACCGAAAAGCAAAGGTTGACGTTTCTGTAGCTGGCCCACTGGCTGGAGCAGCATTGTCGTCCGCCATGTTTGCTTTTGGCCTACTACTTTCTTCAAACCCAGCTGCTTCGGGTGACTTGGTTCAGGTTCCTAGCACACTTTTCCAGGGCTCATTGCTTCTTGGACTTATCAGTAGAGCTACTCTTGGTTATTCGTAAGTTCAGCTCTCCAAACATCTGTCAAAGAAGAGTTTGTGGAACAAAATTGTCACAAACTACATTGCTTGTGAATTGTGATATCATACATGCTCTTGTGCTTGCATCTTTTTAACTATCGGTTCAGAAATGGAGAAGACCATATTTAACATTGTCTTTACTATTGAGATATTCTTGCATGTCAATTATTATCTGTATCTGCTTTCATGCAATCTCTTGTTTCTAATACATTCGGTTCTCTACTTCACAGAGAAATTCATGCAACTGCAGTCTCAATACATCCTCTTGTGATTGCTGGATGGTAATAACTTAGTGTTGTACTTTTCACTCTTCCTAGCTTACACCTTCCTTGCAAGTTAACTGTAAGGTTGTCATTTCAGGTGTGGCTTAACTACATCAGCTCTCAATATGCTTCCTGTTGGATGTCTTGATGGTGGGAGAGCTGTGCAGGTAACTTCAATCAGCCCTTTTATTTTTCTAAATGTAGTTTTGTGGTTGGTTGAAATTGCATAAAAGCATCAATGGCTCTCCTAAGAAGCCTAGACACCATTTCTTAAGGATTTAAGGTATTGTTTCATTCTTCAACAACATGACCTACAAGTTATACATGATGTGCCGAACACTTACATAATTGCACACTTACTCTTTGTTATTATGTTCAATAGAGGAGAGGGGAGGAAAATGGAAGAGTTTAGAATTGTTATGTTTGGTTCAATGGAGATGTAAGGATGTAAAAATATATTTTATAGAAATATGTAAAAGTATACTCCGTAATATTTAGTATATTCTTCTTTAATTAAAAATATGCAGGAGTAATTTATATCTATAAAATATTTAAAAATGATATTGTAAAATAATTTTGATTAAAAAATTGAAAAAGAAAGGCTAAAACCCCCCATCTAATCCTTATGTTTTCTATCATAAATCCTCCAAATTTGCGGAGTGAAATANACACACACCAGCCCTCATATTTCTTCCTCTCCCCTCCAAAGCCCCACCATAGAAACATTTCAGTATGTGCATCAGTGCATGTATGCAAGCATAGACGCTTTTCCCTCAGTTTAGTCTACTAGTTTTTATTTGATTTTTTTGATTAATTCTTTGGGTTTTGACGAGTGATGATGATCATTCCTCTGTGTTTGATAATTTTACGCTACACTTCTTTTGGCAGGGTGCTTTTGGAAAAAATGCAATCATCGCCTTTGGTCTGGCAACCTACACAATGTTGGGACTTGGAGTGGTAGGCCTTTCTTAGGACATCTCGTTTGGGCTAATAAATTTGTTTTAAAACCCTTGGGGTTTGGGTGGAATTAGACATGGGTAAAATTTACTCCGTGTTTCATAACCCATTTGTTTGGGGGGCTTTGAAAGAAATGTGAAATCAAAATATAATAGGGCTTTGAAACCAAAAAAATGTTGGATTTTACCCTAGAAAATGCAAAGGAAATGAAAATATGTTTATTTTTTCTTTTTACCTGTGCTTAATTTTCCCTCACATTCTATTTCCTTTCAAATTTCTCACGTTCTTTCTAGCATTTCCCACGTTCCAAATGGACCCTAGAAGAATAACGCTCCGTTCTATTTTTTAACAGTAAATAGTAGGTCAACAACTAGTCCCTTCTCAGTATTTCACCATTTTCTCCCCCTTGTACTTATCATAAATTAGTGCTCATCAAGATTTTTGATTTGTGCTTTTCCCAGCTTGGCGGACCATTGTCACTACCATGGGGATTATACGTACTCATTTGTCAGGTATTTGTTTTTTTAAAAAAATCTAGTATGCATAAAAGATACACCAAACAAAAAGATTGCTTCCAACTGCCTTATTGATTATTCCATGACACTCCCTCCTGAAATTGAACTCTCTGTTCCCTTACGTATTTCTCATGTAGAGGACACCGGAGAAGCCTTGCCTGAATGATGTGACAGAGGTTGGAACATGGAGAAAAACCCTTCTCTCAGTGGCTGTGTTTCTAGGAGTGTTGATTCTGCTTCCGGTGTGGGATGAGCTTGCCGAGCAGTTGGGCATTGGTCTCATATCAAGCTTTTGAACGTAAGGGCGCGCCAATGATTATTATCATTCCCAATTTTGATTCTTAAAACTATGGCTCAAGTGAGTAATGCATCTTTCACCTTTCACATTCACATGATAGTCATATACTCATGTTTTTTTCTCAACAAAATTTGTTGCATGTAATGTGTTTGGGGTGTGAATGAATATAGCTAGCTAGGATACTGATAGGTTTCTATTTGGTAAAACTTGGGATTATTAACTGCGAATGGTCAAAAATATTTGACTGCAGTGGATAAATTCTTTGTATACTACACATTTCAATACTTAACCCAAAGATAGGTTGTACACTTGTACATGCTTTACCAATTGTCTTCACGCAAGAGGTAAAACATTTGATTGCAGCTCTAATTGTTAGACTGATTCATTGTATGTGGTTTCACCTAAATAATTGATGTGTAGAATAATCCAATTTCATTTTCACTTTTCATCTCTTACGTAGGTTTCCCATTTTCATTTTATCTCCCTATCCAATCATTATTTTTATTATTTTTTGTCATGATTTGATTAAATATGATCTAATTTGATGCAATCTGATCTGATTTTAGTAAGAATAAGTAATAAACAGAAAAAAAATAAGTCCTACAGGAACGGATCCTTAGTAATATCAAATTTTATATTGCCAGTTAATCGTAGTACAAATTTCATGCAACAAGCCAACAAGCGTACTCGTGATGTTTCATCTATCAACCTTATCAAGAACAAACAGTAAGATGAAGGACGAAATGGAGTGATTCAAGCACTCCATCTTAAGATAATTTTTTTACATTATTTAATAATACTCTTCTGTCTCAATTTAAATTGCATGTTTATTATTTATAGAGTCAAATTTTAATTACTTTATTTTTTTATTTTCATTAATTATTTGATAAAATAATACTTTGTATAATATAGTCTTGTCACGACTCATGATTAGTTTTGTAGTTTTTAAATATGTAATTTTTATTTTTTACTTCTACATCATTTTTCATATAAAATAATTTGAAAATAAATTCAATCAAACATCATAAACCAATCACATTCTTCTTCCCTGCCTCTTTCCTCTCTGCATTTCAATTTTTTTCTCCACCCAAACTTCTCCATTTATCATCATCTCCCCCGTTTTATTCTTTTTATTTCTTTTAGTATTTTCTATTTTGTCCATTTCATATTTTGTAATTTATAACTTATTCCATTCAAAGGTAATTTTGTTTCATAAAGAAAAATTTGATCGACAGCTTGAACAACAATCACAACATGATCGACAACTTGAATATGCAAAAAATGTAATCGGTGTCTTGTGTTTTTAACATCACATTTGTTTTTTAATCTGATATCTCAATTTGTTTTTATCAGGATTTTAAGAATGGAAGAAATCAAAATAAACATTAATTAACTTATGTGGCGGCATATCCAAAGGTGTAATTTCCACTATGAATAACTGTTTATGAATAGCTAAGTTTGCCAAACCTGTTTTTCATAAGAGAAGTGCTAGAGTCACAAACACTTTGATCACAAAATACACAACCTTGCCATTTATTGATTTAAATGTTTACTTTTTATTATTTTACATTATTTAATTCACTTGGTGAGGTACACAAATAGCAAGGTTGTGTGTTTTGTGATCAAAGTGTTTGTGACTTTAGCATTTCTCTTTTCATAACGACTAAGACAATCAGTTGGTCTAAACAACTAAGGCTTCGTTCCGTTCAACTTATTTTTCTGATCTGATCTTATTAAATCTGGTTTGATTTGATTGGATCTAATCTGATTGGATCTGATCTGATCTGGTCTGATCTGATTGGATCTGATTGGGTGCATCGTCCGGGCAGGCATAATGCTATCACAGATGCCTTGAGTCAGAAGACCGTTAAAGAATATGTTGCTGCTTTGGTTATGGTGCAAAGTAACATAGTGGATCTGATTCGTGATGTATCCAAGAAGGACGAAAAATACTAAAAGTTGGCAAAACATGTAACCAGCGGGATCGTGCAAAGATACCGGCTAGAAGATGGCCTACTATTTGGCAAAGGTTGCACACTTTATGTTCCAGAAGGTGACTTACGGGTGCAGTTGTTGAGAGAGACTCATGACTGACAATGGGCTGGTCATCATGGTGTGACTCAGATGATAGCATTGTTGTCCAGGGACTATGTTTGGCCAAAGATGGAACATGACATAGAGGCATATGTGCGGAATTGCCTTGTATGTTAACAAAAAAAATAGAGAAGCGGAAGGAGGTATACTTGTTACAACCATTGCCTATCCGGAGAGACCATGGCAGCCTGTGTCCATGGATTTTATTTCAGGTTTCCCTAAAGTGAATGGCATGTCAAGAATATTGGTGATTGTTGATCGGTTCTCCAAATACGGAGTGTTCATAGCGGCTTCGGATAGTTGCCCTGCTGAGAAGACGGTAAATTTGTTTTATAGGAATGTGGTCAAGTACTTTGGCCTTCTTAAAGACATTGTGAGTGATCGGGACACACGATTCACTGGATGGTTTTAGACTTCCTTGTTCAAGTTGTTGGGCTGTCCTTTAAAGTTCTTGCAGCAAATCATCCACAAACCGAACAGAAAGGATGAACGCATTACTTGAGGAATACATGAGGCATTATGTGACGGTGAGTCAAAGGAACTGATTAGAGTTACTTGATTCAGTTCAGTTCTGTTATAACTTACATTAGTCTAGTGCGACTCGAATGATGCCATTTGAGTTGGCAATTGGCTTTCAATCCCTTACCCCTCATGAGATTTCTGTAAGGGTTGGTGAAGCGTGTCTGGATGTTGTTCGCTTCACAAAGAACAAGCAAAACTTAATTGATGAGGCGCATGATAGTCTTGCCCTAACCCAGGCTCGGATGAAGAGGCAGGCACATCAGCGAAGGTAGGATGTTCAATTCCAAGCTTGGGACTTAGTGATGTTGAAACTAACTCCCCAGATTTGGAAAAGAATAGGTAGCAAAGTCATTCGTAACGGCTTATTTCCGAAGTATGATGGCTCGTTTGAAGTTATGCACAAAGTTGGAGATGGGGTTTACCGTTTAAAACTACCTGAACGATTGAAAGTTCACCCTACTTTTCATGTCATTTTTTTGAAGAGGTTCAATAAGTAAGAGTTTGACTCTTCAAGGCAGCAACCAAAGCGTGCTCCTCCAACAATTCGGGAACAATTTGATAAAGGCATTAAAAAGATTTGGGAGAATAAGATCAAAGGGCCAAGTAAAAAGAACTGACGGACGGAATACCTTGTGCAATGGGAAGGTGATTCTAAAGAGAATTCAAGTTGGGTGAGAGATGTGAAGTTATGGGAATTTGAAGATAAGATCGTGGAGTATTAGTGCAAATGTGATGCTAGCGGGGGAGGTATGTTAGACCCTTAAAAATCAGGATGGTATAGGCAACGCCAAGGTAGCCTTGGCTTAGCGTTGGCCAGTGTTGATCAAGGTCGGGTGCTGGCTTGGATGGCATGGTTGGCTTCGAGGGTAGGATGGCCAAGGTTCGTGCTGATCCTAAGACAAACCATGGGGCGGGAGTCGCTGGCAAGGTTAGCCAGACTTGCGGGAACAAAGTGGCTCACAGTTGGTTTAGTGAAAAACGAAGTTGGCTCGAGCTGGCTCACAGGTGGCTTAGTGATGGGGCTCAACGTGAGGCATGACTCAGGCCAGGGTGGCTTCGGGTGGAAGTCACGAAATGGCCAAGGACTCATGGCCAGGGGGTGTGGCACTTACGTTGGCTAGACAAGATTGGCTGTTAGGCCTTTGAAATTCAAAACAACGGCTAGCTTTTGAATTAACCAAGGGCCCTTGGCACTGGTGTCCCTTCGTGAAGGATCATGTCTGGCTAGATGGTTGGCCTGTAACCATCACGTTTCGCCTTTAAATATTGTTACCCGTGGCATGTGTTGGCCTAAAGGGTGGATGAACAAAGCCTGTTTGGCTATTCCTGTGTATTATATGAGATTAATATATGGTTGGTTGTTGACCATAAATTTGTGTTCTTCGTGTTCTTGATTATATTCTGTCCCTAAACAGGTAAAAGTTGATTATTTTGTGAGACAAAATAGACCGTACAGGTGTTAAAAACGTTAGTGAAAAATCAGTTCCCACAATAGCCTAGATCGGGGTGTCATAGCTTGTGGGAGAACATATCGTAGCCCAGAACTAGAAGCCCATTTATAGTGTTAAGGGTTGTTTGGCCCGCTACAATTCTCTCCGCTCGCGAACTCCATCCCAACTGAGAACGGAGAGAAAACCACTAGAAAACCTCTATTCACCGCCGCCTCCGCCGCACCCCGCTGCGTTCCCGCCATAATGAGTGGTACATCGAAGTTCCTTACATTTCTCACCGCCACTCATTCGCCAATCGCCCTACTTCACCGCCCCGGCTGCTTCCTACCTCGGCGGTCCGTTATTTTCGCCCGCACTCTCTCCGCCTCTCCTAGCCGCCTCCCCGTATCTTCTCCCGCCCAATTCCCACCCCTTCGGACACCCATCGCTACTTCCCGGCGTCAATTTCAATCAGCGACCCTTCCAGTTGAAAATCGACATAGCGCGCATGCCTCTTCTCCCTTGACGGCTCACCCGTGGCCAGAATGGTTCAACCTAATCAACGCGATCTCTGCCAGCGGACAGGCGGAGGAGAACGGATTAATCCCGGAGGAAGATGCATTTGTGGCGTTCGAGCAATTGCCAGATGATTTTGTTCGGGATGCTAGAAAATGCCTTGCGTTTGCTAGACAAAGACCAAATCTTTTGGGGTTTGTTATCTTTTCCTCTGTATCTTAATTATATGCATGAAATTTATATGTATATTTGATATAGTTTTGTATAAGCGTGAGTTAGGGTGTAAATAATGTAATTGGATTGTTTCTGCTGGGAACAATTAAACTATACTCGTAATATTATAGTTGTTGGTGCCTAAGAATATGAGTATGTGTTTAATTCTTCCGTGTTTGAATGGTTACACAGTTCACTTTCGAGGAGGGATATTGAGGTAGTTGTGTCAAATGGCACACCATTTTTGTTCAGAACCGCTCTTGAAACAGCATGTAGGCTGAGGGCTTTTCTTGGTATTTATGGAAACCATGTAAGTGATGAATCCCATATTGTCTGAGTACAAGTTCTTCTCTATTACGGAGTCCTTCATACTAGGGAGAAATAAAATTAAGGTTAGGGGTTGGAGGAGGGGGAATGGTCGTCCTTTGTCATAATAGTAGTACTGCTAGCATGTGTTCACATTAGCTTTGAATGCATGAGAGAGAGAGAGAGAGGGAAATCTACTTATTATGATTGCAGCTTTATGATTAACATTTAGATCAT